AACATGATGAAGCAGAAGGTTGGAGAATGATTTTGATTTATTGTAAATACAAATTTCAAAAATCCATACTCTCTTGAAAAATTTGTATCTTTCTTTAAAAAGTGGTTTTCGACGTGAATAAAAAACCATCATGTAGAGAAGAGATTACTCTTCAATTTGAAACATAATGAAGCTAAGTTAAACCACTCACCTTTCCCACAGGGCGTTAAGGAGTTATGGGTGAAAAAGTAACTTTCGTTTTTCCCTGTATAATGATCGAGTCATCAGATTTTCTTAGGAACTAATATTCAGGCTAACATTTGGAAACATGAATCTACGATTAGATCGGAATTTCACCAAAATCGGACCAGAATTGAAAAAGTTACAGAGTAAACAATTTGGCTAAATTATTTGGTGGCCGTATTTTTTTGCCGGTGAGTGTATATCAACTCACCTTGACCTCCTCTATCCGCCATTGGACTATGGCTGGTTAGTCATGACTCACCCTGTATGTAATGTTGTCATTACTAACGTCGTTGAAGGTTGGGAAGTGTCATATTACACACCTCTACTTCCCGCCCTCCAGTGCCGGATTTAGGGGGGAGGGGGCTATCAGCCCCTGGCGGTGAATTTCAAGAGGCGGTAGAGAAAAAGAGAAAAGAGGAAAAGCAAGCAGCAATACAATCGTCGCCAACGAGGCGACAAATATATTATATTGCTTCTTGCTTTTTATATGCCGCCTCTTTAGTCTTGTTTTGGAGCAAACGCGCAATTAGCTACCGCTGGCAGTCGGCACCGCATCAAAAGGACTTAGATTAGATTTGGAATGGGGCCTTCGCGCTATCTGCCTCCACACTGCGACCTTTTCAGATCTATTGTGCCTGCCCTCAAAATGGATTAGAGTTCTTCGGCTAGCCCCGCCTTCTCTATGAGACTCCATAGGCTAGCTTTCAGATCTCCTGTGTATCTCTGGGCTCCTGGTTTTTCCTCACCCAGCGTAAGGAACCTTAGTCTTGACAAGCCCTCACAGTGGCAAAGTATGTGTACTGCTGTTTCTTCAAAAGGACTTGGTTGAGATACTGTTTTAGTGAAAATCATAACATGCACTAATCTAGCGTCAGCTGTGTCTTGGACGCTACAATACAAAAGCGGCGGCGCTACATACTTTTATGCGATGATGAGGAAAAAAAAACGCATTATACTCAGTAGAGTAGGGGTAATTTCGTGATTCGTCTAACTCAATAACAAAAAAACAAAATCAGAGTTCAGTATTTGATAGGTTGTCGTTGGTATTGTTGATAATCGATGGTAATGGTACTAATAATAATAGTAGATTGTTTTATTAGGATCAAAAGTGACACTTTGTTTGACAAGCGAATTTTGCATTTGCGAGGCGGAGCGTTTAGAGAAGCCGAGCGAAAGCAAAAATTGCGAGTCGAACAAAGTCACTTTTGATCCGAATGAAACATGCTATTTTTTCTGCAACCGAAACAATTAACTCAAATAAATATGTGAAGTTACCACCAATGCCGTGCCATATGTATGCAATGCAACAAATATTGACAAATAATCCGTGTAGTGAGAACATTCTACCTGCATCAACAGCAGGTTCATTCAATTTTCAAGGATGTTCGAATTGTAGTTTCAATATAAGTACAATAACAGAGTGGCAAATTTGTGTATGGACCAGGTGCTCTAATAGCAAATACCGCGCCAGTGCCAGCTATAGGAACAAGACGTGGAAAATGTTAGGTTAATGAGCATATCAACAATGATAATGGCGATTATTTACTCCTCTCTATAATACAATGTTTTTCGCTCAATAATCAAATGAAGCTAAACAATATCGTTGTTTGAAACAAAAAACTATTGCTTGCCGTGATTATTCAAAAATAAGTTATCCATCCCGAGAATAACGAATGAAATACAGATCAAGCAAGTATTTGAATCTTGAAGGCTTCCCTGATCAAACAGAAGAACTTAGCTGAGATGTTTATAATTCCAATACTAAACTATGATAAGGTGTATTTATATCTCCAGCATGGGTATGAAATTCCAAATCTGCTGAAATCGGAAACAAATCAGGTATGCGTCTCAACTCAAATAACCAACCGTCACAATGTTGTTCATTCTTGATGACGTCCAGTACTTCCTTTTTAGTTCCTAGGAGCTAAAGTTCAACTTTAGCTCCTAGGAACTAAAATTCAACTTTAGCTCCTAGGAACTAAATATGTTGCCCAGCAACCTACCTATTTTTGTGTCAGTAATAGAAACGTCAATTTAAGAGCTAATTTTGGTATCAAAATGGACGACTTTTGTGTCGGTTGCAGAAAAATAAATATTGGAACAGAAATATAAAAAAATGAGTAAAAAAGAAGGTGGTGCATTCTGGAAACGGCAGAAGATCAATAAACAAAAGCAGTTAGACGAAGTTGTCAAGAAATGCCCTAAAATACATTCATTTTTTCTAAATTCAAATGAGACAGAATCAGAACCGACAAAACCGTCTCCTGGAACTTCACGATCTCAAGACGGGAATGGTATGTTTCAATATTTTTTAACATTCAATACCCGAAAAAGGAGAGTTAGAATATCAAAAATAGATGAGCAAAATATGAACACTACTAAGCGTTGTTTTAGGGATAATCACAACAAATTCCTAATTCATTGAATATTGGCAATTACTGAGAGTTTTTTTACTATCCCTGATGATTAGTAATGCCAGTGGTGGAAGGTAATTCTCAACTTTGAAAAGAGTGAAAAACTGCCTTAGGAATTCCATGGTTGAGGATACATTGAATATCTTATCAATTTTAAGTATTAACAGTGACATTTTATTAAATCTGAATTTTGATGATGCCATTGACGACTTCGCATTTTTAGTATTCATTTAAAAAATATATTTGTTGTTATGTTTAACGTGAAGTAAATATAATTTGATTCGATGTACATAATTATTTCATGTTATCGTTTTATGCTGTAAAAAAAGCAGTGAAAGGATTATTTGAATTTTGAAACTGACAATTAAAATTTAATATTTGGCGGCGGCGCGGTGGCATCGTAAAAGTTAGCCCCCGGTAGGAAGTTTCATTCCTGTCTCGAGATCCTAGCAAACCTCGACGCTTTGCGTCTCGGTTAACTAACTAATCTCACGCCAGGAATGAATCACTTCCCACCTCGGTGTGTAATATACTATTTCTGTGCCCTGTGCGAGCTTCTATAACTGCGCCCTTGTTCATTAATTCAATTACCGCGCACCAGTGCGGTAAAGTGAAAAAAATATAATTTCAAATTTCATTTTTACTCAGAAAAAGAAATAATAACCAACTTATCATGAATATAGCAGGTACTATAGTTTCGATTGCTGCTTTCGCCGCAATTTCTATATCGGAATCTAAACTTTCCTGATACGAATTCATGCCGATGATTTTTTTTTTCGAATTGAAATTAACGCGTCAAAGTTGACAGTTCGCCGAATGAGTGACAACCGAGAACACAATAGATTCACGACAACCATACGCCCAACCCTTGCAACGCTTGCTTGTTACATATTCCTAATGAATGGTCAGTTCAAGGATTATTGAATATTTTTGATTAAATAATTAGGTTTTTGGTAGTAGGTAAAATATTGTACTATATTCGTATTGAAAACTCATATTACGATAATCGATGGGTTATCAAACTGGGGCTTATGGTCCTATCGTAAATACCTATTTCCTACGAGCGTGCGGAAAAGTTCCGCATGATTTTTCGTTTTGTAAGTTGTACAGTCGTATTCAATAAAAAAGCGTACAAGTATTAAACATAGAAGATTTCGGCATCCTAGTTTTAGTTGTGTAAAACTGGCAAAGCCAATGCTTTGTGTTTTTGAGAACCTATGACAACTTTAGTGTCAACATTTGGTAAACAATCATTTCCAATAGCTCGTTTTTCGCTGATAGGATGACATTAATTTCTCTCTGTAATATACATGTACGCTTTTTTTTTAATACGACTGTACTTTTACGTACGATTTTACTTTTCCGCAATATTTTCACTTTTCTGTCTTTTGTGTCATTTTGTAGCATCATTATAAAATATTGTTAATTAAAAACCTTTCTTTTCAATAAATAATATGGACAAAAACACTCGTAAGAAAAACTTTGTAGCTAACTCTTGTGGAAAATGTCTTTTATGCACTAGCGGGACGTAAAGTGCACTTCACCGCCCGGTTTTGCGGGCGTTAAGTCGCACTTTACCGCCCGCGGGCTCATTATGGCCCACGGGCCGAAAAGTACACTTTACCGCCCGCTGTTCTCAGTCACCTTATATCCACATATCAATTTATGAAAAACCTATGATCATATTCCTAGATTCTGATATATCCAGCGGTATATCATAAACTTCTCCTTTATCCGATTCCATAGTCTTGCTATTATTATTATAACTAATTTCATTTTTCAGTCAAAGAATGACAATTCAGCTCGTTTATTGGATGTATTGCTATAGACAACAACCATCAGATTGATTGACAACGTCAAAATAAGTTAGGTTTATATACTGGGTATGCAATATGCATATTGTAAAATTCTGAAGAATGAATCTCTTCTAGAGCTGAAAGAGTTTTACTATTACGATAATTGCAATATTCGTACGATAATTTTCATATGTAAATCATCCATGAACATTACGCTTCTCTTGATTACTCAATTTATAAGTAACAAATTAAATTCTGGGGAATATTAGTTTATCGAAATCTATAGTCATTACTTATGAGGCAGAAAATAAACCACTAGTGCATAAAATGTTGTATGTATCTCGTGCGTGAAATGCGTTTATGGCCTTCGGCGTGTAATGGCCCTCGGCTAGCGCCGTCGGGCCATTATTCACGCCACAGGCCATAAACGCCTACTTTACGCCCTTGATACATAAATAACTATTCCGCCCTTGACGACTAGCGTCGTTCGTGCAACTGCCATCGCGTGCGGAGAAGTATTACTTTCTGCACTTGTTAGGTAAATAACTATTGTCTACTTTCTCACATCGTTACTGTTGATCGCCTTAGTCGCCTTCAAAGCAGCCGCGGCTATCCCTTTGCCGTTGTACGACGTGGCCATCATCGGAAAAATCCCCCCGATGTAGATCTTCTGCTTCGTGTTGTACCCCTTCCAATTGTTCCACACCTCTTTGTTCTGTTGCATCCACTCGCAGGCGATCCGCCTCACGTCTGTCACATTCCTCCTCGCGTCCTTCACGTTGCCTTTGACCTCCACGTACCGCCTCAACAGGAAATCGTAGTCCTTCTCATCTAATTTGAAGTGCCTGAGGCCCAGATAGAGAGGTTCTGCGTTCTTCGCCACCTTCTCCCAGGCTAGTTTGACCAGCCTGTGCATCTCGTACTTGTAGCCCACCTAGAGCGGGAGATTTAGGTGAAAATTTCACTCCAAACATTTTCGATCAATTTCAAGCCTGTATTTCGTATCGTTACCATAGCAACTAGATATTTTCATGGACGATGCTCTTCTGAAATATCAACAATTGTTCCTCCCTTGGCAGTTCCCGCGAGATTAACCCGTCGAGTTGAGGCTTCGCACCCCTTCGTGGTTGTGATATATGAGTACTCTGTATTTTATAATATGATCTACGTTGGGACGGCAACGATTATTATTTGAAGTTGAAAGTCAGAATATAAATTATATAAGTTATCAATTTATTATCAACTATACTGAATCAAACATATTACATGGTGGCAGCGGTAAAACGTTAATGAGACCGTTAACATACGAAATTGAATCTAAAGCAAACATAAATAAGACTGAAAATGAGTTCCGAATCAAGATCACCTTCAGCAATGGTCTTCAATGGTCACGTTTCCGAAAATTGGAAGCTTTGGAAGCAAAAATTTAGCCTATACATAATTGCAAGTGGAAAGAATAAACAGGAGGATAGTGTGAGGATAGCCATATTGTTGAATTTAATTGGTGATGAAGGTTTGCGAATTTATAATACATTTGAATATGGCGAAGGTCAAGATCAAACTAATTTTGATATAATCATCAGCAAATTCGAAAATCATTGTAATCCACTGAAAAATCTAGTTCTGTTACATTTCAAATTTTTCAGTCGTTATCAAACACCTAATGAAAATTTTGATACATTTTCAACGGACATCAAAAGTCTTATCATAGCTTGTGATTTCAAAGATAAAGATACATTATTGAGAGATATATTTGTTATTTATAATTTATAAATTCAAGAAATACTACTGCAAAAATCCAATTTAACCCTAAAGGACGCGTGTGATATATGTAGGAGTTTGGAAATCAGTGAAAATATTCAAAAAATAATAAATAATCATATTGAAATCAAGCATTTCGACAACGTACATGCAGTTTCTAAACCAAGTATCAGTAGACATTTCAATAGAAGTACTCCTTATTTTCCACGAAATGAAATGAAACATGAAAGAAATAATTGTCCTGCATTTTCTAAAACATGCGTTAAATGTAAATTAAGAGGCCATTATTCGAATATGTGCAGGAATTATAAAATATAGAGTATCTAGAAGATATGAGATAACAAATGAACAATTGTTAGAGGATGATGATAGAAGCAGTGAAGGAGTTTATGAAGATGATGAAAGAAATGAAGGAGTTTATGAAGATGATGGAAGAAATGAAGGAGTTTATGAAGATGACGGAAGAAGTGAAGTAGAGGAATCAGGAGTTGATGAGTCAAACAACGACGATGCTGAAAATGCTGAACATGTTCATCGATATACTAAGAGTGGAAGAAAAATTAATAAACCACATAGATTAGATTTATAAAAAGAGGGACATGTGATATATGAGTACTCTGTATTTTATAATATGATCTACGTTGGGACGGCAACGATTATTGTTTGAAGTTGAAAGTCAGAATATAAATTATTCCCAAATATAAGTTATCAATTTATTATTAACTATACTTTGGAGACCTGCAGAACATCTCTTTCCAAAGACTCGTTCATCCAACGAACAGCGAGGCTCTGGAATACATTGCCAAGGGAGTTGTACCCCGAGGCATATAACTTCCAGAAATTTAAGAAGAACACCAATTTCTACCTTATTTCCCTTGGTTCTCACGATGTTCTCTGAACATTACAGGATATCCGTTTTCGTGGGAACCAGAACAAAAAAAAATACAGCATACATCTGCCCCACTAACCGTCTTCTCGTGCGTGAAGTTGTAGAACTCGTTGTTCTTGAACTGCACGTTGATGTAGTTCTCCTCCTGCAGCACTATCTCGCTGGGGTACCAGTAGAAGAACAGCAGGCTCCTCCTGTTGTCGCTGCCGTATCTCTCTTTGAGGTGCTCGATGACCGCCTGGAGGTGATCGCCCAGCCACAGCACCTTGATGAGGAGGCCCGTCTCTTGGATCTGGTCGATGAGGAAGCTGGTGGAGTTGAACTCGGGGGCCAGCAGGACTGCGCAGGTCTGGTTTCGGCATTGTTTGGGGGTGTACATGCTGTTGCGGCATAAGGTCGAATTGTTACAGATGTACCTGGAAGAGAGATAAGGGACGTTCTTTTATTCACTGGTGACTACATCAATCCACCAACTGTGTTCATACAGAGTGGGCCATTGAAAACGAAACAGCGGCTCTGTTGGTCGGCAAAACCGGATTATGAAAAAAATCTGAAACATGTCTACTACATTTTCGAGGGGGACATAGTTCTAAAATATTTTCAGCCCTGCGGCGTTGCCGCTTCTAACGAAAAGAAGCAACAACTTTGTTATTTCAAATGGAACACCTTGTATTTCATTGCATTTTTAGATTCTCCCCGAAGAGCTGACTTTATCGATATATCATACTCGGGGTCAAAATTCTCTGGGATACAGGGTATTGATATTTCCATGAAAAATCGTTTTTTAATTCATTACTCAATTGTCTTTTCATCAATTCCAATAAGATATTGTGGTTTTGTTAATAGTAATATGGAGCTTCTTCTGGTGCAATCAAATTCGAAATAATATTTCCAGTGGCGTCACAGTGGGTAAATTTATCGATATTTATGGTGAATGTCATTGTACGCCACCGTAAACTATTTTTAAAATTGAAAATTCAAGATGACGGTTCCAATATGGCGGCAAACGAGTTTTGTGATCCGTTTTTATCCAAAATTGATATTTGGGCGTTTTCGGGGTCGGAGATTATGATTCTTTCGTCAAAATTTGAAAATTCAAGATGGTGGATCCAATATGGCAGACGACTTTTGTAACTATGATCCGATTCTATTCAAAATTGGTTTCTGGGGATTTTCAGGGTCGGAAATTATAATTCCTTCGTCAAAATTAGGAAATTCAAGATGGCGAAGCCAATATGGCGGACAAATTTTTCAATTATGATTCGATTCTATTCAAAATTGGTATCTGGAGGTTTTTGGAGTTGGAGATTATGATTCTTTCGACAAAATTAGGAAATTCGAAATGGCGGACCTAATAAAGTGTGTGCGATTTCAACCCGCAACACCCTCCTGATTCGGAACTTGTCGACCGATTTTCAAAAATTCCATAATATAGTACTCAACGAGCTCTATTCGAAAATATGCGAAGGAATGCAGAGCAGTCATCGTAGATGAATATTTGACATTTTGCTATCATATGACAATGAATCGAGCTCAAAATGTAAGGTACTTACTTGGATTGATCCATACGGAATATTTCCCGTTCGATCCTATCCAGCACGTCTCTCTCCACATTGAAAAAGCTCACCAACTGCCTGTCCAAGAACAGCGTCCAGTGCACCTCCTGGATGCTGTTGGTCCACGCCGCAGGGCCGTAATACCTAGATTATATATTTTTTAAATTTGTAACTTTATCCTTCTCTGATTGACAAATTATAAATTGTTAATTTTGGATGTATAACAAATTGATATTCATCATACAGGACGTGGAAAGAAATTCTGAATTGAGAAAACCTAATCACGAATCTGCGATTGAATTTCTATAAAAATAACAAGTTTCCATCGTTCAAGTTTGAACCCCTTGATTGAGTGGAAGTATTGAAAAGGAATATTCTCAGATATATTTATGGATACAAAAAAATGGATATGTATACAGTGAGCGGCAATATTATGGAACAAATTTATTAAAAAGTCAGGCCTGTGTTTCTTGGGAAAACGCTCGGACAAGTCGATTTTTATTTTTTCCTGCGTTTTTTATGGTAGTAGATTCATTTATACAGGGTGGCTCAAAAATGAGTTATGATGATCAACTTAATTTTTTTAAACGGAAACACTTATTTTTTATTTAATTTTTGAATTCGGCGTAAAATAAGGTCGATTTTTAATTTTAAATGGCGATTTTTTATTAATTGTGCAAATATGATGACGTCACCAGTTTTGACACGGTGACCTAACCCGACCTATTTGTGACTCAAAAAAGAGTTACCACCATCATTTTCATTTTTTCAAACCATTTTTTTTTGTTCAATTTCAATGATGCGATACATGAAACATACTTAAAATTTTACGCCGAATTCAAAAGTTAAATAAAAAATAAGTGTTTCCTGTTTAAAAAAATTAAGTTGATCATCGTAACTTATTTTTGAGCCACCCTGTATAAATGAATCTACTACCATAAAAACCGCAGGAAAAAATAAAAATCGACCTGTCCGAGCGTTTTCCCAAGAAACACAGGCCTGACTTTTGAATGAATTTGTTCCATAATATTGCCACTCACTGTATATATATTAATTTTTTTGTATACATAAATATATCTGAGAATATTCCTTTTCAATACATTCACCCAATCAAGGGGTTCAAACTTGAACGATGGAAACTTGTTATTTTTATAGAAATTCAATCGCAGATTCGTGATTAGCTTTTCTCAATTCAGAATTTCTTTCCACGTCCTAATCAATAGAGAACAAGCAACTTCGGAAAAAACCATCAGGACCAGACGTCAAAACAGTCAGGAACCAATACCAATATTCTTTTCTTTTATCAATATCTGTGGTTGACTGGTTGGGTACTGTTTTGAAATAAAAATAGAAGAAGACGAATTCAACCTACTACAGTATCACTGACATTGAAACAATTATTACTACTTGGATGGGTGACCATTCGAGGAAACGCCGCGTAAGCCCGCACATCTGTAGCGAAATAGCATAATATCATAGCTACAGCTACAGCTGGTTGGAACACCAGAGGATTCGTCAAAATTTCCAGTGATTAGCCTCAGTCACGATGTAGGCCTCAGTCATGGTCTCAGTAGCAGAAAAAGGCCGACGTTAAAGATTGATATTGATAACGATGACCAATTATTATGTAAGAAACAATCATATATAAATTGTAACCTCCATTAACTCGAATGCAAGATATGCAATTATCTCTCTTAAAAATGGAATTCGATCAAAAATATATCAATTCATAATCAATTCGATATGTACTAATCAACTCTAACCATCCAAATGTCTGCGATGGCAAGTTATTCCATTCGAAATATAAAGATAGATCCAGACCTACCAGATATTTTCAATTCCCACAACCTATCACTTCAAACTTTCAAGTCGGTAGTTCAGATCAGAAGAACCCTGACTTCCTATTCGTTCTTCGCGAAAGAGACAATTCAAATCTATTCCTTCTCCTGATTGGTTGTTTAGTCTCCCTTCTTCAATCTTCTGTGTCGCTGTCAAGACTTGAGAAATTCGATATGGTTATTGAACCGTGAAGGGCTGATAAGCAAAAGTAGATAGAAGAACGAATGGGCGTCAGATAATTGAATGATTGATTGATTGAAAAACATCTTAATGGAACGGAATAATCGTTACAAAGGAAGAAGAAACGAATGAAAACAAATGAGCTATTGACAGTCCGATACAAAAGCGCCATCGACACGCAGACAAATTCTGGGTGAATGAACAGACGATATTATAGCTCTCGCCTACTAACTATAGCTTTCCCATTTGGGTCGACAATGCTTGTAACATGCATAGAGTTATAGGCACAATACAATACCTCCTAACCGGCCCCGATAGAGTTTTGGGGATGAACCAGCCGAAGCGGCCAGGCGGCCCAACGCTGCCGCACTCCTTCACCAGGTCCTTGGCGAAGGTGTCGTAGTCGGGGCTGGCCCACACCTCCAGGTTGATGGTGGCCTCCGGTATCCTGGAAGAGAGTTAGGCATTAGCACGTTTTCATCCTCATTAATTTCTGATAGAAATGACAATATCTTGACCTCCAAATGCGATAATGTTTTGAAAAATATATCCAACTGGTGTGGATTCGAGGCCGATTCATGCAACAGTCATTATAATTACATTTTTCTACAACCGACACAAAAGTCGTCCATTTTGATACCAAGGCTAGGCAACATATTCAGTTCCTAGGAGCTATAGTTGAACTTTAGTTCCTAGGACCTCTAGCTTAGGTATTATAATCAAGTTGCCATTGCGAGTAGAATAAGGGTGCAATTTGGATTGAACCGTATAATTGTTTTTAGAATTATGGATTTCGAGTCAAGATTCATAAATAAAAAGTGTAGAAAGTGGCATAATTTGGAAACCCACAAAAAGAGGGCGACAGTGCTATCAAAAATTCACTCCTGCCATTACTCTAATATAACTCTTTTTTGCAACTTGAAAACTTTATGAGAATGACAGGAGTCACCCCATAGTAAAATACCGTAAGATAAATTACTATGGAATAACCCATAGTAACAAGATCTGAGAACATGTGAACTGACAATATTCCTTGAACGTCGGATCAAAAAGGTGATACTAGATAGTTTCTTCGCTAGTGATTCGATATGAGGAGCCCAGTTGAGCATATCGTCTAGTTGCACGCCAAGTAATTTCACACTATCTCCTTGAGTGATATTTGATTTCGAAGAAACCAGTATTTATTGATTTTTATGTAAGTTAATTTCGAGTTTGTTACAAGTAAACCAAGTTTGAGCTGAATTCATGATATCTTTCGATTTCGTACATAAACTGTTTAGGTCTGCACTTTGACAAATGAATGTTGTATCATCTGCGAAAAGAATGGTCTTTGTCGGAGATATAAAATAATCATGGTCATTTATATGAATAAGGAATAGAAGGGGGCCCAAAACAGATCCTTGAGGAACACCGTGTTCCATAACCTTTCGATCAGAAAGAGCACACATACTAACGATGACTTACGTCTTGTTGCGATCCACGTAATCGCTGAGCCTCTCTATGGCAGACTCGATCTGGAAGTGGTCCTCGTTGAAGGTGATGTTGACCTTGGGGTAGCCGAGCACTTCTTTGACGTAGATGTAGAAGATGTGAGTGCTGAGCTGGTGCGTGATGCGGTTGGACGTATCTAGGTTTATGGTCAACGATTTCTCATTCTCCAAGTACTGGAAGTACTTCTTGGGGTAGACCTCTGGAAAAAAATTGAAAAAATGAATGCAAGAATTGAGTGGTCCTGAATTTCCAGGTATGAATATCATAGGAATATTCCCAACTGAATATTCTGTGTTGTATATTCATGGAATTTTCCAGAAATATTCCAATGTGTTTCAATGGAATGGTATAGTATAAACACCAATCACTATTTGAGAGCTGTGAGTATCAAACATTCATTATACAGTGTGTATCCTAAGTACGTGTAAAAAATTCAGAAGCATGTTGCTGACGTCAAAATGAGAAGAATCGTTCGTGTCAAAGTTTGATTCTTATTTCTGTTTTTTGTGAATAAATTCCAAAATAATCGTGATAACCGAGTGGTATTTGGTATCTGAGACCAAATTGAATTTGAGGTTAGTTTGTCTTTTACGTGAGGGTGGCGCCACCTACATGCCTTTTCAGTAATTTGAAATGTTTTAACCTTTTTAAACGTATCTGTATCACATTCTCTAGTAGAAAAATTGATTTCTCACATTTTTGTGAAAAAAAGATATTCTTTGTAAAGGTCGCTGCGAACAACCGTCTTTGAGTAATTTGGATTCGAATTAATCAATGCATTTGAATTATTTTCATTGAGCTCGTGAGTCGCCTCTAAGTAGTGAATATTGAATATTGGAGAAGATTTACCAATGAATTGTTTGTCTTTCATTGAATGGTCTTCTACATTCAACAATGGAATGGTCTTCTAAAATTGGATTGATTCTTGATTTCTTTACATAGAATTTTTGAACTTAAAAATAGTTATTTAGAAAAAATGTTGACGCGAAACTAACGCATCTAGGATACGAAGTGATACTTTTGCGTTTAAAAATGATGAACTATGGATATTGGCAGAATAAGAAAACCGTATATTTAAGTAAATAAATTAATTATAATCAACAACCTCAACTATTCAGAATCATATTGCAAAGGTGCCATGATATGAAATAATATATATAGTATATAGTGTGTATTATTTCAACAACCCACCTACTTGGCTACTTGGCGAAGATTCTGAATCTCACATCAATAAATTTTCTTAAATTCTAATCATCGATACACCATTCGAAAGTTAAAAATTAAAAAGTTAAAAATTTCAGCGTTTGAATCATGTCCATAACTTATTTGGGTGGAAAATTGTGAAACATTGCATCGTGCTAGCTTGAGGTTAAGCTGGCCCAGCACCATTTTTTCACTAACCGCTTGAGTTAAAAAATTCGGGTTGGTGTTAAAAAATAGTTATTAAATACTAGATGATTTTCACCTCGTGAATCACCCTGTATAGTAACCTAGGCCAGGATTGTTTACATTTACTGACAAATTGGGAAAGAATAGTAGATTGTTTTATTAGGATCAGAAGTGACACTTTGTTTGATATGCGAATTTTGCATTTGCGAGGCGGAGCGTTTAAAGAAGCCGAGCGTGAGCAAAATTTGCGAGTCAAACAAAGTAACATTTGATCCGAATGAAACATGCTATTTTTTCTGCAACCGAAACAATTAACTCAAATAAATATGTGAAGAAACCACCAACGTCGTGCGATATGTATGCAATGCAACAAACAATCCGTTTGGTGAGAATATTCTACCTGTATCAACAGCAGGTTTATTCAATTTTCAAGAATGTTCGAATTGTAGTTTCAGTATAAATACAAACACAAAGTGACATATTTGTGTATGGACCAGGTGCTCTGATGGCATATACCGCGCCAGTGCCAGGTAATGTTAGGTTAGTGAGCATATCAACAATAATAATAGTGATTATTTATTCCTCTCCACACTACACTTTGTCTGACTTGATAATCAAATGGAGGTAAACAATATCGTTGTTTGAGACAAAAAACTATTGCTTGCCGTGATTATTCAAAAACAAGTTATCCTTCCCGGGAATAACGAATGAAATACAGATCAAGCAAGTATGTGAATCTTGAAGGCTTCCCTGATCAAAACAAAAATACTCAACTGAGATGTTTATAATTCCAATACTGAACTATAATAAGGTGTACATATCATTATATCTCCAGCATGGGTATGAAATGCCAAATCTGCCGAAATCGGAAACAAATCAGGTATGCGTCCCAACCCAAATAACCGTAACAATGTTGTTTATTCTTGATGACGTCTAGTACATCCTTTTTAGTTCCTAGGAGCTGAAGTTCAACTTCAGCTCCTAGGAACTAAAGGTCAACTTAAGCTCCTTGGAATTAAATATGTTGTCTAGCAAAATATCTATTTTTGTGTCAGTAATAGAAACGTCAATTCAAGAGCTAATTTTGATATTGAAATGGACGACTTGTGTGTCGGTTGCAGAAAAACAATTTTCAAAGAATGAAAGAATGGTGTTTTTGTTCATATTGATTTTCAGGAGCTGATCCGAAAACATTGTGTAAAACATCGTAATTGCTTGGTGTTTTAAAAACAGTAAATTGAACACATGAGTTTGACGTATGTGCTAATTGTGCATAGAATTGTAAATAACAATGAATTTGATGACTTCAATTAGCGAATAACGAGTGAACAACGAGCAATCAATACACACGTTCAGCACTTGATATTTATTAGTATACTTACGTATGTTTCACACATTTTACGTCATAAATCAGCTGCGAAAAATGCACTAAAACTATATGAACTATTGAATATATTTTATGGAAGAATACAGGATGTCTTCGAAATTAGGGCAATAAATAAAATAGCGTGTTGTATGAGATATAATCTAATATACAGGGAGTAATTTAATTAATGGCTAAAAATATTAACCTGTTAACTTTTGAGCTATATGGTGTTGAAATAATGAGAAAAAAATCGTTTTCTTGTCATAACTTCAATACTGATCTAAACTGCTCCACCGTAATAACTTTGGATGGGATCAATCAGAATTTAACCACCTAGAACATCATGTTCCAATGATTTTCTTTTGTAGCACATCGTCACTTTGGAATTCATCTTCTGTGGATATCTTCCCAGAAAATTACAATTTGACGTATTTCAAGAGAACGATTTACAATTTTTTGTCATCCAGTGCTCGAAGTGCCTCTGTGGCATCATAGGTTGATCCTTTTGTGAACACATCACCATAAGAACGATACCCAGACAAGATGAGACTATACCGAGGGGTTAACCAATGAATTTAAGGTATTCAAACAATTCGAAAAGTCATATGTCATTCAAAATTGCATATCTCAAAACATCCTGTATGGATCTTGATGAAACCGAAACCATTTCGAGAAAACACATCAGGCTTTATGTTTTTGCAGTCAGAAAAAAATTTAAAAATTATCCTACTAACGGGGCGACCTCAAACTTTTCTAAGATTATCACACTTTCAGATTTCATCCTGTAGGTCATGATTCCGAAAAGGTGGAGAAACGTAAGAAAATTATGTTATACCCAATTGACTGACCAATCCGAATCCAAAAAAAATCACAAATCGGCTGATCCCATTCAAATTTATTATGGTTCGAAAACAAACAAAATATTTCGCTTGTCTCACTTCGAATGTGGAACAGTTTAGATATTTTCATGAAATTTTACATGCCCCTACTACGGTCCAATAATAAACATTTTTTGATGCAGGAGATTTGTCAATGATTCCTACCAGTGGCGTCCGTATGGGATGTATACTGGAGATTTTTCTACAAAAATATTGAACGCCATTGCTTTCTCCGAAAATGAGAATCATTTTTGGAATCCTCATTTATTTTGCAACAATTCGATCTCTAAGAATTTGTTTTCGCGTAAGAAAATGAAATCCATTTCCATGCATTTGTGGTATATAACGCAAATATTTTGAACTGGTAGCCTGGTGCCCCATTTTGTATTTAAAATAATGACATTTGATCGATTACGTTACGGTCTTATTTTGACAAGTAAGTATTTATAAACGTGACAGTTATTTACAATGTGAAAATTTCTTCATTCCATAATGAAGAGAAAATGAAATTTAAACACCCTATAGCTTGAAAGTTATGAGTTTTAGGGCATAATTATGTTCATATGAACTTTAGTCCAGTAGCCAGAGGATTTTGCCCTGCAAAAGGTCCGGTAGTTTTGATTTTTGGATATGTGTTAGAGTTCGGGGTTCTTATGAAAACCCCAAATTTGCAACATCGGCAGCCGCCCGCGCGAACCGCCATCTTGGAAAATGGCGACAAGAATTGTTAATTTTTGCATTATCTCCTCGCTGGTGGGTACTAGCACAAAAATACCTATATATATTGATCGATGCAGTTCCCGGAGGAACACCCTGTATATCCTATATTTTTAGCCATTAATTGAATAACACCCTGTATAAAATTCTCCTTATATACCTGATTGATGAAAAAATTCACTTATTACCTTCTTCATCTTTTATACATTTTTCTTCTTCAAACCCCCATGTCGTATGAACCGCACAAAGGAGAAGAGTCGGCCACCACCACAACCGTATTTTCCCCTTCATCTGGAAAAAAACACACATAAAATAGTTATTCGTATAATCTAACAAGTGTAACAATAGTTGGAGAATAGAAGATAGCTAAAAAAGAGTACATTTTGTATTAAGTATTATAATGAATGGATATACAATAAAAAATAGAAGTTTGTGGTATCAATAGATTCATATGAGCTTCGATTTCCATCTAGCTCCTTCTTCTCAAATAGAGTGGGCCTTTGAAAACGAAACAGAGGCTCTATAGGTCGCCAAAACCGGATTATCAAAAAAAACTGAAACAGGTCAACTACATTTTCGAGGGGGACATCTTTCTAAAATATTTTCAGCCTTGCAGCGTTGCCGCTTCTGAAAAAAAGAAGCAACAACTTTGTTATTTCAAATGGAACACCTTGTATTTTATTGCATTTTTAGATTCTCCCCGAAGAGCTGATTTCATCAATGCATCACACTTAGGGTCTAGCTGTAATGGTTTCAGGGATATAAAGTGTTCAAAATCGAGATTTTTCAACTTTAACATTTTTTTGTGTCGAAACTATTCATTATTGGTCAAAACGGCTTTCATGTCCCGATCTCAACTTGTGATTTACTATCTACTGACATTTATTTGAAACAAATACAGGGTGGTTCAAGATTCAGAATTCTGATCACCCTGTATCTGTTCCAGTTAAATGTCAGTAGATAGTAAATCACAAGTTGAGATAGGGACATGAGAGCCGTTTCGATCAATAATGAATAGTTTCGACACAAAAAAATGTCAAAGTTGAAAAATCTCGATTTTGAATACTTTATATCCCTGAAACCATTACAGCTAGACCCCAAGTGTGATGCATTGATGAAATCAGCTCTTCGGGGAGAATCTAAAAATGCAATGAAATACAAGGTGTTCCATTTGAAATAACAAAGTTGTTGCTTCTTTTCGTTAGCAGCGGCAACGCCGCAGGGCTGAAAATATTGTAGGACGATGTCCCCCTCGAAAACGTAGTTGACGTGTTTCAGATTCTTTTCATAATCCGGTTTTGGCGACCTACAGAGCCTCTGTTTCGTTTTCAAAGGCCCACTCTGTATGAAGAAGGATCATATCTTCACAAACGTACTGACCCAACTTGAGCGTAGCCCCGTTGAACTTTCTATCAAATGCTGTTTCTATCAAGTGTATTTTCTATCAAATATTTTTCCTATCAATTGTATTTTCTATCATTTATGTTTCTATCAAATGTATTTTCTATCATAAAACATTCGATCAAATGCATTTCTATCAAAAACACTTTCGATCAAAAGACTTCTATGGAATGTTTTTCTATCATTTGTCTTTCGATCAAATTTCCGCCACCCGGTAAACCGTATGATGGTAGTTTGTGAAGGAGTCCTTGGTGCCAAACACGGTCGAATGCTTTCGATATGTCTAACGCCACAGCTAGATGCTATTTGGATGACTCGAGCAAATAAACGAAAATAAAAAACAAACTGTTGCTGTATCGCCAAAAAAACTGATTGGCATTTTTCAAGTATGTATTTTACTATTCGATTATAATAACAAACCCGTATCAAGCACTTTTGGTTTCATTTGTACCTAGCTGCCTATTGCCAAGGAAGTTTTAACAAACTTTTGACAAATGTGCCTCAGAGATTCTTCTAAAAATAACCGCTAGAAAGTGTTAAAATAACCTCCACAATTCACAAACATAAATACGTCTTTGTCTTCACAATTTATCTACGATCTAAATTATTTCTCGAAATTCTTCATTCCAAATATAAGACCATAGTATTGGTATTGTATTCTACTTGATGGGTTGAAAAAATGTACAGGGCTAGTATGATGTGAACCCGCGTACCATTTCGGAATTCTTAATTCTGTATAAATATCACATTGTGTTTATGAACATACTGTAATGATATTCCCCTTGGAGGGGCTTTAGAAACATCAGCAGGAAGGCAGGAGTATAACGATCATCCTGTATCACGCATCCCAGTTTGCTCTCCTACCTCCCAATGATTCCTACATGCACTAGCATATTTCCGAACACTCAATATATGCCGCGGTGACAGATAACGTCACAGAAGATTCTGGAATGTTCTGGAAACAATCGATGGAACAATTAGAGAGAGAGGTTTGTTCTAAGAAGCTTCTAGACCAAAAAGAAGGAGACGGAAGATCATTCGAGAAGGTTCTCGAATCAAGCCTGTCAAGTGATCTCATATATAAACAGCCGAATAACTGCCGTCAGGCAGTCAAACAGCGAGTGTCAGAGAGACAGTTATATACCGCGTGTTATAAATCGTTTTACATAAATAGTAAATATAAGTTCGATATAAATTAGTGTTTCTTTAGTTTAAATAAATCAGTTCGAAAATAAATAGTGTCGTGTTCGCTTCTGCACACGAATAACGTAACAATACACTATACCTACCTATCCGTTTAACCGATTTTATACGAAAGTAGGTACAGTCAGATGCAATGAATATGCCACTCAAGGGCGGTGATAGCACCACATTTTCTTTGCATCTGACTGTACCTACTTAATCTTTTATTTTCGAAAAAAGATAAATTTCATATTCAATATACATATATCAATAAGCGATAAATCAGCGACAAATTTTTGTAATATTATTATTGAAAAATAATGGATAGATACAGAGCTATAACTTCATATGAACCTAGCACAACCATCATAGATTTTTTTTATAAAAAAAATGAGCGACAAATTTTTTCAAGTAGTAATTAATTAGCGATAAAATAGTGACAATTTTTGGTAGCATCAATTTTTTTGAAAAGAGAATAGATACCGAGTGGTTGGGCCAAGTTCATATAAACCTAGCAGAACCATGGACTTTTTTAATAAAACGGTAGCGACAAATTATGACATAGTTGACATAATATAATTTGGATATTCAAACTGTGGAATACTTATATCTGCTATCAGTAGTTTGTTTGGGATATTTTAGCTACTCTTTGCCAATCTCAAGGAGCACACAGAGAGGAATAAGTATTATGGTATTTTCAAACGGAATAGATATGTTTAGAATAATTGTTTATACGGACATAAAATACTATAAAGTATTCTAGTCGTAAGGTATTGATAATAATTTTCAGCATTTGGGCATTAGTCGGCATTATGGCAATAAACTAGCATTTAATGCCGAAACTGGCAATAAGTGTACATAATTTTGGAGCGTTGAATATCCCATCATGGATATCCAGCACAGGATATTCAATTAACGTTCAGTTCATGTTATTATATTTTTCGACCAATTTACGATATCCCATGGATATTCGGATTGGTTATCTATACAGGGTGTCTGTAAAAGGTCTTTACAAAAACATACCACATATTCCCTAGACCAAAATAAGTCGATTTAAGTAAAATTACCTTAGTACAGAGTTGCATCGTTTGGGCTCCAGAGGGCCTTGAAGTTACAATTTTCAAATCGTTTTTCCCATATAAATTTAAAACGAACTTGATTTTTTAAATAATTGCACCTTTAGAAATTCTACGCCAATGGCAGAAAAGGGGTTCGAGTATGAAATTTAGATTGGGTACTCATTTACTACCAAAAAGTACCCTTGATAACACTCGATTTACTCTCAAGTTTTGACAAAGTTTGTATTTTAATAATTATTGTTTATGTTCTAAAATTACTAAAATGCAAATTTCGTCAAAACCATGAGGGTAATCAAGTCTTATCAAGGGTACCTTTTTTAAAGTAAATGAGTTGCGCAATCTAAATGTCATACTCAAACTGCTTTTCATCCATTGGCGTAGAATTTTTAAAGGTGCGATTATTTAAAAAATCAAGCCTATGTATTATTATCGGACAAAATTTTAACACATTTTTTTTTGCCACATAAAACTCTATCAATATACCAAATTTCAGCAAAATCGCATATGCCGTTTTAAATTTATATGGGAAAAAAGGATTTAATAATTGTAACTCCAAGGCCTTCTGGAGCCAAAACGATGCAACTTTGTACTGAGGTAATTTTACTCAAATCGACTTATTTTGGTCTAGGGAATATGTGGTATGTTTTTGTAAAGACCTTTTACAGACACTCTGTAGATGGGGGATCGAACGGACTCGGTTTTCTCATTTTCCTAACGGAAAAGATGATAAAATATGTAATTGCTCAATGGAAAAACAGAAAAAAAACTCAAGAAAGGTTGATGTACGGCAATTTTGTCAACAATGAAGCGACAGAGTTATCTAGAATACTCAGAACATCGTAATATTTCTTATGAAAGTACAACAGAAGAACAACATCATTTACTATTGGTTATCTCCATGACAAATACAATAAAAATACCTGTTCACTTCCCGAAAAAAAAAATGAACTCGCACACAGTCACTTCGTTCATCAAATAATACCACAACAAAATTGTATCATACATTATAAGTATAATACTGTTTTGTAGTGGTAATATTTGATTTAGTTAAGTATCATACAATTTTTCCGACGACTACTACTGTAAGTGATGGATATTGAACACAAAACAATGGCAGTAAGATTCTCCTTACACACGTGTGCGTAAAGAGAGCGATCGCACGGTTTTCATAGGTATGTTGATAGATGACTTTGTTTTGTTGCTTAGGCGATGTGTCAATTTCATTAATGTCACTAGCTAGGTGGGTAGGTACTTATCTTTTTATCAATCAATCCAGCTATCTACCGAAACCGAAAGCATCAGGAAAGTTATTTTTTTGAAAATATGAATATTTTTTATTGAGAATCCTCAATTTCAGTTTAAAAAAAATTATGTCAAGCGATGACGATGATCAGATTATTTCTACACCACCAGAAATGTTGGAAAAAGCTAGAATGGTAAAAAATGAGTTGCTACCCGCTAAGTCTCGTAAATGATACGAGATAGCACATCAAAAATTCCTGGACTGGAGAATTAGAAATAATACCGTGTCATTTTCGAAAAATATCCTATTACTATATTTTCAAGAATTACCAAATTTTATGAAATCATCATCACTTTGGTCGATATATTCCATGTTACGATCAACAC